ATACCGACAAACCAGGCTGCGAGGAGGTTTGCAAGATGGTGAAGGAGGTATGCATAGGTGACTCCGTAGACCGCCGAATACATGGCAATCGCAAAGAAGATGATCGAGGTGACGTGTTTGAACCTGGAGAATGTTAGTTTACAACAGAACAAGAAGACAGGGTAAGAATGAACATACCGAGTAGTGATCCGTGGTATCATAGCGCCACTGGTCATGGTCTCAACCAGGAGGAGGAATGGCATGATAGACAGAACGTTGTGGTGGGAGGAGAAGGGCATGAACCAGTGCACCACAAGATTGTGGGCCCAGACCAGGAGTACCAAGACATTGATAGGCAGAATCCACAACATGAGAATGAGAATGGAGTGGGCGTAATTGCCGAAGTTGAGGTGAGAAGCGGATCTCTGTTGCAAAAGTTAGGATGTCTTACGTTGGCAATGGTATTAGGGGGGAAAAGCATACTGTTTCCTTGACATGCCACTGGGCACGCACACACGTCGCAAGCTGTACAATACAGGCCACCATGTAGGCAAACTGATAGGGAATGACCGTGGAGACAAGAATCAACAACACTATAGTATGGATTACACGTCGTCGAGGTGTAGGGGTGCTGAAAATAGGGAGGGTGCTATGGATCATTAGCAAAAGTTACCAGTAAATATAGCGCGGAAAGGACTCACCCTCGGTCTTCGCGTCGGATATAGCCCGACTTGCTGTTCACAGCCCCATACGCCAAAGAGAAGACGTTGACCAGGAAGAGAGCCACATAATTGACCAATAGACAGGCGCCAACACTGATGACCCCAAATATCGGTACAAGGAACCAGAAGAAGGCATCTTGCGACCCCAGAAGTAGATCATTTTTGGTGAAATCGGCCGGAGTTTCCGTAGAGTTGGTCCGCCAATGGAATGGGTCATCGGACTGGGGAAGTGCCTTCGATGTAGCGAGGGAAGATGCCAAAAGCGACATCGCTACTAATAAGAGGGGAAGAGACGACCGCAAAGCTCGATCGAGCCCATCGTTGAAGGGAATGAAATATCCTGTCTCATCATAGACCTGGAATTGCTTGCGGAGCACAAGGGCTACGACCAGCAATGGGAATGCTGCGAAGATGGTGCGGTATCGCATCACGAGCTCGCCTAGACTGCTCTTGATGTCAACCTGGAGCGAGAAGTCGACAGTGGATCCAGAGCTTGGATCAGTCCACAGTTGGAATGACACGCCGGCCTGGGCTGCCTGATCGCGGAGCGGAGGTGGCATAAATGGAGCAGCACCGTGGAGATTAACATTCACTTGGTCGACATTCACGAAGAATTTAGATTCGTGCGGATCCGCAATGGACTGCCTCAGGAGTGGGGCAAAAAGCTCGTCTTGTTGAGGATGCCGTGTGATCTTGAGACGGTAGTCCAGCAGACTGGAGTACAAAGCTGGGATCTTGATCTCTGTGACCATAGGCCGATTAGCGGGGAGGCGCATCTTGATTCCTGCACCCAATAGGCTACCCAATCCCACCTTGGCGCGAATCATGGAGTCTGAGCTATCCGAAAACTCTGCGACCAGGAACCCTTGGGTAGGCACGGTGGCCTTGTCCACAACAGCCACAAACTGATGTTCTGCGAGAGCCTCCAGATCATACTGGAGATAGGAGAATGGCGGAACACGGTCATAAGCGTGCTTTGACGAAGGAGTAGAAGCAGGCAAATGAATAACATCAGCTTGTGCACTCTTGCAAGCCAACCTGGTAGATCCCGCAGTCCCACCGGAGTATTCCATGTTCATAGAAAAGACGTTCGAACGACCATTATTTAAAGGAAACACACTGCAAAAGAGGACTTCGATATTGCCCTGAGCACCAATGACCTGGTCAGTGAGAAGGGTAAACTTCTTGCCTGCAACACCCTGCGGAGGAATGGGAAGAAGGCGAACATCGGGGCCATGTCTCTGGCCCACTTCATGTAAGATAAGCCGTTGACCTAGGGCAAGAATGGTGTTTGCATTGTCTTCAAGAGTCAAAAGGGTATTAGGTTCTTTTTGGGCGAGCGTTCTCTCAGAAACGTCTTCCAAGCCTGTCAAGTACCACCGTTTAAGCTCTCGCATGCGCTCTGCTCGGGGTTTTGTTTGAGTCGGACGTCGGGCATCAATGATCTCAAAGAGCGACTTGATAATCGCTTTGCGGAATTGGTCACACCAAGTGATAGACAGATGGTCATTGCCAATCCACACATCAGGAATCGAGGATGTGAACACGGTGAAGCCGTGCGTTTCTGGAACAAGAGACGAAATACTGGTGTAATCAGACGGGACAACGGTATCGCGCGAGCCACCCGCGATGGAAACCAGAGTGACATGCCATAGCGGATTATTGTTGGCCCATGTTTGCGAGTAAGCCTCGCGCCAGTAGTCGTTGATCTGCTTGTAGGTATGAACGATATCAGAGTCGAACGAGACTGGGGGTCTTGCATGCGGTGCAGACATAGTGATGATCGTATTGATTGAGTTGGCCTGGTAGTTGGCCATCGTCAAAACAGTACGTGCTACAATGCCACCCATGGAATGTCCGATCAAGATCACCGCACTGGGGTCCGGTAATCCGGGGTCCCGCCGAGTCCGTTGCGGGTCATGATATAGCGAGAGAATATATGCAATCGCCTCATTCACGTATTCCGCCTGGTCCAATAAGGTCTGTCCGTGAAATGCGGCCATATCCTCATTGAAATCCACCATGAAAAAATCCAGGCTCCGTGTACCGGCCGCATGTCGCTCCTCATCGTGCCGTACCACGTCGTAGTAATGTCGCGACGCCTCTGCGGCCAATGATCGGACCTGTCGGTAACTGCCCGCGTTTCCGGGAAGAAAGAGAACCGGGACTCCGTTTAACTAGAAAGCAACAAATATTAGCTTGGGCCCCTCTACCCTGTTGATAGCCAAAAATCATTCTTACCCCGATGTTATCCTGGGTATATGGATCTACACCCTCCTCCCGATAGAGGAACAGATTATACTTGCTCGCAAATCGTGTATGTTCCGTATCGAATTCCACCATGCGAATAAATGTCGGACTCATCATCGGTACTCCACAGCCATCCCCTCCAGTATGCCGACCGACAAACGAGCGAAGGATTGACAGCAAGAACGCGACAGCGACAAAGGCGGTGCAGACCGTAAGGATAGAGGACGACCAAGGACTGCGCTGTCGGGATTGGCGCGCGCGACGGCCCTCGGGGGAGGGGGCTTCCATCGGAAGCCGCGGAGAGCCCAATGGCATAGGTTTTGTGTCGTTGGAAGGTTGAGACGAAGGCGTGCGCCACAGGCTCGAATTCCGCGAGCGCGGAGTCGAGCTACCGTTATCTCGGCGAAGATCAAAGCTGGTGCCGTGACGAGCTATCTGCGACCGTGATTTATCGTTGGGAGCATCGATGGCATTGGAGCCATGATCGTCTGACCGAGCCGAGGAATCTTCAGTGTCGTCCGCGACAGGGGAGCCAGACGAACGTCTGTGCATTGGAGGAGGCGGAGTCGGAACTCATCCAGCACAGGGGGATTCGATCTTGGCACTCTGGAGCGCGACCACTGGTCGAACAGATTCAAGGAGGGGGAGGAGGGAAGGGGCGCTGGAATGCGGACGAGAGTAGGAGAGGTTCGAGTGTTTCCCGAGAACGGGTTTCGGGGGTTAGAGCGAAGAAGTTGGGGTTCCCGGCTTAGACTTGGCGTTTTAGCCCTGACATACAAGATAAAAAAAAAAGTACAGAATCTCTGAAAAGTCTGTAACAGATCCCCTTGTCGCCCTTTATTGCCCTTTTCTCTTTCTTCTTCTTCCCTTTCTCAACAGGATCGTCGGGGGATGTGGAGAAGAAAAAAAGGGTACCAGTGGGACAGGCACAAGGAACCGGTTGACAGCGGAAAGAATCCTGTATCTATGTCTTTCTCAGTGAAGGAATAGATTTTCCAAGGTAGATAGGGTAGTTTTAGTGAATGCTTTTTTTCTACTATTTTTCCCCACTGAACCCTAAGGTACTACATACTACGTCCTCCATGCACTAAACTGTCTTTTAGTGACGGAAACGGTATCGCCAGTCTTGGCAGTGGGTAAAATCTGGAGGTAAGACCCTCTCTACCGAGACATTTGGATTAGAATTGATATAGAAGATACTATATCTTGACTATACGCAAATATCGTGGGTGCTGATGCCCAGAAATCCAAAATGCCGGTTTAGTGCCATTCAACAGGTCAAAATTTCTGTACTCAGTAGGCAGCCATATAAAATGGGCTAGGGCTTGACCACGAACCTGCAGGACGCGTAGGTCACACCATAACTAGAATATCATTGATAATGTCATTCAGCCACGTCCAAATTCCAGAGCAAAAAGCTACTGGGCAAATTTTTTATAGCCAATAGCTGGGGCGGATGGCGTGACGTGTAGATTGGCGCTAGTTCAAAATCGCTTTTCTCAAAAGCCGAGGTGCTGACCAGCTCAAGGCATATCTGCGCTTCCTACTGGTCAGTTTGAATCCTGACAGTGCGGGGTTTGAGAGGCCAATGGCCTTATAAGGATGCTGCCCCCTCTTCGCAGGGTGAAAGCATGGCTGAGATAATGAGACTGTGACCTAGGGTAATCATGTGGGTCCCCGGCACCTGGAAATGATCCCAATGTTGAGAAATGACAGTCTGTAAGCGTGAGTACTTTTCCTTCTTTCCCTGGAGCGCAGCGCGAAATGAAGAAATCCTTCAAACTTTGGACCGACAAGCCTGTCGGGATGACCCGTTATAATTAAGCAGATTCAGATCGTGAGATCCGTGCTCTGAAGTAAATCGTACTCCTAGACTAAGTCTCCAGCTAACAAGATCTTTATATCTAGGTTGAACGCCTCGAAGGGCCAGATGAAAGCGAATATGGTTATTGCAAAGTAGCTATTCATAAAATTTGGGGAATCATCGAATCATGTAACTTCAATTCCATCAGTCATTACCGGTCAAACGTGCAAAATTATCCTCTTCTTCTACTCCTTGCGCAATGTCGCTGCCTTCTCCGGGTCACTTTCATCGATCCTGTCTATACCCCGGTGGGCCGCAACAACCGCCAAATCGGCATCGTGTTCGGCATCAAAGTTCCGGCCCAGGCGCTCTGGACCGACCAGGGTGATAAGGATAGTATAGGCAAAGACACATCCCATAAAGATACAGATCACCTTGCCATATTCGTAGCGCTTGGTGCCTGTAGAAGATGGTGGGAGTGGGAACCGTTCACCAATGGTTGATTCAATAGTCGAACTCGCGGATGAAACCAAATTGCCAAGCTGATAGGCTGTGCCAACGGCAAAGGTCCGGATGGGTCCCGGTGATAATTCCATCAGATGCACAGGAATGACTCCCCACGCTCCCTGCACCATGAACTGTTCGAAGAATGCAGCGGCTATGACGGAGTGAGTAGTGGTGAAGGTGTATGGGTAGAGCAGCGCGCCGCCTACGATGCTGATGACGATAATGGAGAATCGACGGCCGAAGATCTGACTGGCCCATCCACAGATTGTGCCTCCTGACAATGCGCCCAAGTTCGCAACAACCTGGGTGACGGTGACTGCATTCTCAGAGAAGTTGAATTGACTCTTCAGCATCGTTGGATAGAGATCCTGGGAGCCATGTGACTAGAGCCTTTGTGAGCAAATACATCAATTCGTCTTTCGTCAAAGTCAAATCACATACCATAAAGTTGAACCCGGCCATCAGGAGAACCAGGTAAATCAATAACAGCCAGTGGCGCTTGAGGGCCACTTTGCCTTCGGCGAGGAACGACTGCGCTACACCACCACTGACTGCCTCCCGTGTCTCCTGTCGACGACGGAAAGTTTCTGTCTCAGGCAGGCACAAACGGAAGGCAATAATGAGGACGGGTGGGCATGCACCAAACCAATACAGCGGCCGCCACCCATGTGAGGTAGTACCAACTAAGCCACGGGCAAAGGCGGTTGCCAAAAGATAGCCAAAAGCATAGCCCTGCTGAAGCAAGCCAGAAACAATACCACGCGCCTCTGCTGGGCAATCCTCTAGCGCAGTCGCAGCGGCGTTACCGTAAAGACCACCCATGGCAATTCCAAACAAAGAGCGACACGCCAGAAACTGCTTGTACGTCTGACAGAACCCGGTGCCCAGCTCAAGGACAACAAAGAGAAGCTGATTGACCACAAACGGCCACTTACGGCCCCATCGATCGGCGGCAATGCCAAATGTAATTGCGCCCACCGATCGAAGCATCAACACCAATGTGATTCCCCATGTGATATCGGTGACCGATTTGTCAAACTGTTCAGCAAGCTCGGTAGTGGTCAAAGAAACGGTGAAAAAGTCGAAAGCATCCCAGCTCCATCCCAGAAATGCGACCTAAATTGCTTTCATTAGCATACACCTAGAGCTACTTGGATCCCTTGCAACGGCCATACCCAGAAAAATAGCCACTGCTGGCAGTTGAGAAGCATGAGAGCTTGGAAGGGGTTTGGAGCCTTATTCATCGGAGGAACTAAGGTCGGGATACGCGTAGCAAAATACCGGCCAATGCTCATATCCTCCTCGACATCTGGCGAAGGCTCCGCTCTCGGAGAGTGGGCTTCGTCCTGGATTACTGCCATGGCTGCTAGACCCTCGGAGGTAGGTTGATTCCGAGGGAATGGGAGTGGGTGCCGTTGCAGCGAACGAAAGGGGCGAGTGAGCTGAGGGCGCGTCGGAGCAGGGGTGAATCCGAAGGAGGGAAAAAAAAAAAAAAAGAAAAAGAAAGAAAAATACTGGGAATGAGGGGGGTGTTAAATACAACTCTGCGTCAGTTTTTTCGGGCCTGCTGGATGCCATGTACCCGTGGACTTTAATCCCCGCGCCCTAAGGGGCAGGGATGTCCAATCTACTTGCTTGAAGTGTATGGGTCACCATCCAGGACTTAGGTAGGAGCACGAATGATGAGCGTCAACCACGGTTGACTGCCGATCCTTATACATTCTGGGGAATTAGTGGGGGCCTGGAGTAAGCCCCCAGACTGGGGAAATGGGCTCTGTGCACCAAGTCGGCAACTTTTTAGTTCTCGGGAACAATGGCACGGGCAGAGGTTTCCTTGGACAATGCTCCGGTATAGGATGCTATCCGCCGAGCCCCGCATAAGTCAACTTCATCTCGGATGTTGAGATTGGTCAGATTGGTCAGATTCTCAGATTGTCAATTTGGAATCCTCTGCACACATAGTTCTTTCTTTCGGTTCTCTGAATATACAATACAACCTTGGAGCCTCGAAGTCTACGATACTACAGCCAAGACCTTTCCCCGCAAGGTTCTTTCTCTCCAGTCTTTGAGTTTGGATGACACATTCTCACGGACAACCTCCGTTCATGCCCTTGCAGCGCCTTCTAGAATACGAGGACTACATGCCTGTATGACCCCCGCAGATACCCGGGATAGAATTTGTCCGGTTGATCTGCCCAGACCGGGAGTGTGGAGCTTTCTGGAGAAAACAAATCCCTTGGACCCCGCGACCCACTAGCCCCCCAAGACCGGCTTTCCAATGCCACCAACAGTGCCTTCAACCTCGGCATATTGGGAGTTGCTGGTTTAGCCTATTTGCCGTGCTCACTGGGAAACTCACGACCCCATAGAGTCACACACTGATCAATCCATTCTTCAGAAAAGGTTGAGTGCAATTTATCTCCACCGCGAGGCTCTTTCAGAGCAATACGGCAATTAGATTCCCCTCCGAGACTCGGCGCGCCGGCGGTAAGACTTGGCATATGGCTTAAGAGAAGTCGGAATTCAAATAAGCCTTCGGAGGTTGGCCGACGCGGTCCGCAACGTTGGTGTTCGGGGATCAGCTGGACAACAATAGCGAGGGGAAGATACGACTAGTGGTGTAATCCTACAGTCATTCGTGAACTGGACCCGGCCGAGAGTCTGAACGAGGAAACATAAGTCATATGTTGGCGGTGGTTGTGCTGATGATAGTATTTATTATTAGCAAAATGTCCAAGTGTTTAATTACCCTGAGTCTCTACACCTACGACCAGATCCGAGATCGATGGTTTGATTTCCTTGGCACCAGGTACCAGAAGTACATAATTACCGAGAATATGCCAAGAAATTACCGAGTTGCCGTGAAAGCTTCTCCCCGGGACAAGACAGCCAATAAACTCTATGGCGTTTCCCCATTGTGATTCGTTCTTGAGTGAACGGTGAGCTAAACGAGGTATCGTCGGGATGCCAAGAGCTCATAGACAAGATGATATAGTGAAACCTGGATCTATTTCTTTTTTTAAATAGCAGATCCACAGAGCTCTAGCAAATGGACCGAGTTACCAATATGACAGTAATTCAGTCACACCCTCCTTCATCCATCCTTCCGAAATGGTGACCTTATCATCAGTATCAAATCCATGCTCCCCATCCTTTAAATCAAGCCTGACATGGACATCAGGCTTATGCTTCTGAACTTCAGAAACAAATTTCTCACTTCCTGAGCATGGTACTGCAGAATCCTGACGTCCATGAAACAACCAAACAAAGGGAGGAACTCTTTCCGCACGAGGCAAGTTTTCGAAAGGGAAAAGCTCCGTATCGCGCCCGAAAAAGTCGAGATATTTTCCATGTTGGACGATAGCGATTGCCAGTGGCGGTCTCAATAGTTCCACCTTTTTCTCGATATCCCCATCCGTAGTGAATACTGCATTCGCAGGTAAACTTTTCAAGTGGCTCTCCACGATTTCATAAGGGAGCTGTAGGTATCAGAGTCAGCTAAAAGAAACCAAGGCCACCATACAGCAGGCATGCTTACAGTCGGCAAGCCAAATATTGGCTTTTCATATTTCTCTGCCCAGAATCTATCCCGAAGATTGATCATGGGATAGGCCATGATAGCCGCCCTGATATTGATCTCCGGGTGCAAGAACATGCTCTGGGAGACCATCCATCCTCCTGCGCTGCTCCCCGTAGCTAGTATCCGATCAAAATCCGGTTCGATGTGGACTTGAGGATAAAAGCTAGCGAGCTTGGACTTCATGTTTTTGGGCAGCCAGTCCCAAAAACTGGCCAGGTCTGCGAGGACATCGTGACCATTTGCCTCGGGGAGGAGGCGGTAATCCGGGGTTACAATAATCGCACGCCTGGACAAAGCTAACTCAATGAGCCTGTGAAATAGAATTAACATGCCTGCAATTGGGGTTAAAGCCTTTCCCAGAGATCAAACTGACCAGTCCGAGAACCAAGGAGAAAAGATACGGTTTCCCCCGACAAGAAAGCCTCCATGGAATTCGGTGATCAAGGGAGTCTTCTCTGACAACTCGCCGTTCTCAACTAGACGCTTTGGAACAAGAATTGACAAGTCAATCGGATGCCCAGAGACGACTTTGTATGTCACATGGTGGACGTGAAAGTCATCAAACTTCGAGGGGTCGTGGATCTCGGGTGGTCCAACCATGATGTTGGTTCAAGGGCGTAGTAGTTAAAGCTTACAGCTTACAGCACCAGAGAGGGAAATAAGCATGTTAAATACTTTGAGAATAGGCTTAATCTATTTTTGAACTGTGACTCCGTAGTTTCATGCATGTTCAATGCAAACATATCCCCCGACACTTTGCATCGGTCTCCGGTGTTATAAGTCCGTGGCCATGGTGGTTTGCTTGGTTTGCATGTGTTGCATCGTCGTGACTATGATAAGGGGCCAATCAGTTGGCATGCAGCTCCCCATCTGGTGATCTTCGCCCTGCTTTGGGCCATTTGCTTGGTTTGTTCTATGTGTTATGATTTCATCGTTTTGGAGCGGGGCTGTTCTTTGTTTGAACGAAACGCCACGGAAAGTTTGGCCTTATGATAGCCTGGACTTTCGTTCAAATCACGACGCCACTGAAAAGGCATGCCGATCATGGCTCGGCTCGCCGTGTTTCAGAACAGAGCGAGTGAAAATTGCGTGTGCGGGAGTTAAGATAATTGTGCATGCCAGAATCAAGATAATCCATCCATGAAACAACTTCTACAAAGACTCTTAAATGATCATATGTATTCACCTTGATTCCCAATCTTCCAGGCGCCCAAGTTTATCATGTAATCCGCAAGCCACACCTGTGAACCCTATAGCAAAGATAGCCAATATCCTCTCCAGGGGTATCACCTCGAGGTGAGCGTATCTCCATTACCGGGTTGCTGAAAAAAACTGTACTGTGGCTCGATGCTAACTTCTAAATTGATAGCAGCAGGATGGTTGCCCCAGGCCTCCCCAGACTGTCGGCGAGAATGCGTTATACTATGGGGCCGCAGCACCATCCTCAACGCAGCAGGAACATCCCGGCCCTGAAAGTGAATGCGAGCGGGGTCTGGGATCCACCCTTGTCGGCGGGGCTGGTGGAGCCTACATTGGCTACCAGATGAGTGGTGGCATGGCAACTGCTGGAGCTGCACTTATTGGAGCTCTGGGTGCAAATGCAGTCACCCAAGCCTGTAAGTCCATGAGACTCGTAGAGACTCGAAATGAGGTTCTTAACCAAAATATCCATAGAGAAAACCATCAACAGCAACAGCATTACCAGCAATACCCGCAACCTCAACAATGTCAGCCTCAACGCTATCAGTAAGTCCCGTACCAACCTGAGGGCTATCAGCAGCTTCTGCCCGGTACCACAATGACCACGACAACTACAACCACAGACCACAGCGCCGGCTATTGATGCTTGGGTCACCGTAGCTCAATGCTTGGGCGCCGTGCTGAGCTGCGCAGTCAATTGCTTCGTCGTTGTTGAGCAGTGTCACTCCTAAGGGCGTCCAAATTGGACCCCGACAAATAACCTCCTAATATACTCAATGCTTAATTGGTGTTGCGGTATTGATGCTTTTATAGACGCAGTTATATATGACTAAGAACAGAATCTGCTTGTTATTCGTTATATTTTCAAGCGGAAATCTCAGGATTTGAGATCTACACTTCATGTTTAAATTCGGGCTATTTGCTTCTTTCGCCTGAGAACAACTGTTGAGGCATTGCATTGCATCCACCATGTCTCAATTTGAGATATGTATTTGATGGAGACTATAGATATATACATTAGGTCTCGAGTATGATACATTTTAATATCACCTTATATTTTATTGGGTAGGTGGTGTTTGAGTTTTTGTTGAGCTCTCGGGTGTGCTCTTGGCCTCGGATGATTCTCCGAAAATTTCATTGACATCTGCATCCTGGTCCACATCAAAGGCCAATGTTGGCATTTTCTTGGGGTCATCCCAGTGGAAAATCCACTTCATCGGCTTGGCTGACTTTTCGTTCCAGAATTTCCGCGGCACAAGAGCAGAGATACGCCGCCACTGGCGGGCCATGAACCTGGGGGTGATCTGATGCGGCCGACCAAGAAGATATGGCCGGAAAGTGGGACCCTTCTGAGGACCATCCGCCAGTAGATCCAATAAGAGGTTATCCTGGGGGGGTTGAGCTTCTTCTACTTGCTTGCGTTTCCGAGGCTTCCATAGCACCGTCCCGGCTATCAAACCGTCCAGAACTTTGAGTTCTTTATCCGGTAGCGGTGGTAGAAGACAAAACAACGTGTCAAAGTACCACTTATGCCGGATATTGGCTTTGCGAGATTCTCCCAAAGGTCGACCCCAGCTGTTCTTCTCAGGTACGGGTGGTTCGACACCTTTGAGCTGAGGTCGAATACGAGATGATGTGACCACCCCGTTGTTCATCTGAGACTTGATAAGAGACAAAATGATTTGCGGGGGCTCCCACCCATCCGTAAAGTTTGGAGCTTTAGTGACCAATTCCCTGAGTGCGTTTGTATCTGTCGGCACATCAGGGTTCATCAATTCAGCTAGTAACTCGTGTCTTCGTTTTCCAATGCGACCATAGGACATCATCATGACTCGGTCCAATGGGCGGGGGTAGCCTTGATTTGCTCTTTGGAGTCGAGATAATTCCTTCTTTGCTGTGTGAATCAACTTCGCTTCCGGCTGCTTAGATTGGAAAGCCCGGCGATATCGGTCCAGAATATAGCCATGCATATAGGTTCGAGCAATCGGGTCGGGAAGATAAGTACATTCCCGCAGCGTAGCCCGGAGTAAATGTTGCCATTGCGGCGAATTTTGGTTCAAGTGAGTGGAAGATATTCGAGGAGTCGCCATCATTATCTTATTTTTGGCGTTTAAGTTGAAGTTGTTCTCACCCTAAAACAGTGAAAACGCGAAAAACCTTGGCGGATGGCACGGTCACGGGATTGACGCGCCCTTTTCGCTCTTCCTTCCCCCAACCCCGCGACTTGACCTTGCCTTGCATTTACTTCCGATCTTCGATCCCGTTCTTGACACATTCTTGTGCATTTGGTCGTTGGGGAAGTGCATGGTTCTAACTTTACACTTGGTGTGCTTTCCCTTTTTGGGCTGGTAAGCCACGCGACTCCTTTTCGCGTCCCGTAATTCTCCACTTACCATACCCTGGTCACTTTTTGTTCGCTGACCAAGACCTTGAGACCAGTAGGCCTGGGAATGTCCCTTTCGCAAAGCAGCGTTGGGTCAATGAATGGACCGACTTATAATATTCTGAACAAATCCCAATCTCTCTCTTCCACCCCTCGAGCAACGCCTCCGCCTCCCAGAGGTTCTCAAATGTCCTCTTTCAATATGTCCAACGGTGCTTCACGAGGAAGCTATGGAGGGTATGACGGGAAAAATGATAATGGGTCTATGATGTCGTACCAGGAGGAGTATGCACCACAGATCTATCGCGTTCGTTCACCTACCTCAACCCTCGATCAGGGCTTGCACACTTACGATATCAAACTAGGCCGTTTACTCGAATGTACCTGTGTACGAGGTGGAAGTCAATGGGGTTGCCGTCATGAAACGCCGAGCTGATTCATGGTTGAATGCGACTCAGATACTGAAAGTTGCCGGTGTCGTCAAGGCTCGCCGAACCAAAACCCTGGAGAAGGAAATTGCTGCCGGTGAACATGAGAAAGTGCAGGGTGGTTATGGAAAGTACCAAGGAACCTGGGTTAATTACAAAAGAGGTGTGGAATTGTGCCGGGAGTATCATGTAGAGGAACTACTGCGGCCTCTGCTGGAGTACGATATGAGCCCTGATGGTTCCGGAGGCCCTTCGCAGGGAACGCTCGATACACCGACGAAAGAACAAGCCATGGCAGCACAGCGCAAGCGATTGTACAATGGTGCAGACAACCGCAGCTCATCACAACCCCAGCAGGGTACCTTCTTTCAGAATATATCACGCACTGCCGCCACAGCTGTGAATGCCATCAGCAAAGCCCGATTCGATTCTCCCGGCGCCAACAACCGACGCCCCAGTGTGATTCGCAAGCCATCGCAACAGATGAGCAGTCAGGAGTCTCAGATGGCCTTTAGCAGCCAACAGAGCATGTATGGCATGTCTGATAGCGGTTTCAGTAGCTTGCAGAATCGCTACCTAGCGCAAGATGATACTGATGATCTTGCCGAGCCTCCCCGCAAACGGCTTCGCTCAACCTCACACCACGGGCCGTCATTTGGATTGCCTCGAGAACCATCCAATTTATCTATGCATGAACCTACGCCTACAGAACCCAACGACTCCTTCTATCAAGACATTGATCTCCCACCTCCGCCTGTCGAAGATGGCCAGAAACGTGGTATGGAAGCGCTGGGTCCGGCCACAACGCCAGAGAAATTCCAAAAAATGAAGTTGCTCATGACTCTGTTCCTCGACAAGCGGGCGAAGGATTTCACCAACCATCCAGCTCTCACGCAGTTGTCGGGTGAAGACCTTGAGATTCCGCTTGATGAATACAGAAACACCGCTCTTCACTGGGCTGCCATGCTTGCACGCATACCCCTTGTCCACGCGCTAGTGGCTAGAGGAGTGAACATCGGCCGTGTCAATTATGTGGGTGAAACTGCCCTGCAAAAGTCTGTGGGAACACGAAACAACCTTGATTACCGAAGCTTTCCCCGTCTTCTCCAAGTGCTTGCCCCAACTATTGACATGGTGGATTATACGGGCCGGACAATTCTACATCACATTGCCGTTATGGCTGCAACAGGTGGCGGGGGACATGTCTCCGCGAAGCACTATTTGGAATCGCTCTTAGAATTCATTGTTCGACACGGAGGTATAACCTCAAGTACCAATGGCGAAACTACACAGAACGGATCACAAGGGAGTAATGTTATCTCATTGGGTCGATTCATTTCAGAAATTGTCAACCTACGTGATGATCAGGGCGATACCGCCTTAAACCTTGCTGGGCGTGCACGCTCCGTTCTGGTTCCGCAGCTTTTAGAAGTCGGTGCCGATCCTCATATTCCCAATCATACTGGCCTTAGGCCTGCTGATTACGGAGTGGGTGTTGATATGGTTGATGGTCATGCGCAGTCGCAGCAAGCCGGAGGTCGAGGTGATACCTTTATTGACCAGCTGGCGAAATCCAAAAAGGAAATCGTTGATGGTAAATCCTCCTTCCCCTCCCCCTTCCCGGGCCATCTTTGTTTCTTGCTAATCCTTTCCGTAGCGACAATGAGTCAAATTAGCACAATAGTCGAAGACGCTCTGGGTGGAATCGACCGAGAATTAGCCTCGGGCTTAACGCAAAAACAAGAGAAATTCGATCACTGGCATGGGAAAATCCGTGAGTCAGCCAAAGCTCGCCAGATCGAACAGAAGGAGCTAGATGAATTGAAGCGGAATAGCACTGAGCGGGTCGAACTTGAACGACGCATCAAGAACCTGCATCGGTCCTCCGATGTCTTGCTGGCTACATTAAAGGAAACAGAGAGCAACGACCTCCCTCAAATCACCATTGTCGGCGATGCTGATAAGGATACGGGCGTGGACATTGCAGCATTTGATGCTTTATTCACAGAGACATTTGATCCATCGTCCGGATTTTCCGAGCAGCAACTGGCCTTTCTGGCCACATTGCCTGCACCGGATATTCTGAAGCGCCGATTGGATCTCTACCGGGAGTTTCTTTCTGAGTTAACAGATGAGGTTGAAAATCTCAAAGCCAAGAATGCAATCCTCGGTCAAAATTATCGACGCATGGTGATGGCATGTACGAGCTGGACTGCTGAGCAAGTGGATGACGCAGCCGATGGATTGACCCAATGTGTCAAGGAGCTGAACGATAATCCTGTCCCAGAGGATGAGGCTATTGAGATTCTGATGAGGGATCGCGGCCAGGACTGGTAGGAGATTCCTACGTTGGTTTTTGGAATGTTTTATTGGGATGGCGTTGATTGCGAGGCATTTGATTGCGATACAAATACCCGGGTGGCCTGCATGATTGATCATGTGCTCAATTTATTTTAATGTTTTCAATGAAGATACTCATTAAATAATATCTTTGTTCGCGTGGGGGTTCCCATAAACAGCCTAAATACGAGTCCGGGGGGAGATTAACCGGTGGTACAAAGGGCCCAGATTCAGTCATTGGAAAGTGGACTAGTCTTCCCCGCGTCTGGAGAGCTGCGTATGGATGTCTCGCGGATAAATCTCGGGGACATTCAGTATTTATACCCCCCTGTTCACTCTTCTGGGTTTTTCCTCGCATACAATTCTATATGATCCAACCTAGTCCAAGATGGCTTCGGGGATTTTGAAGGTCAAAGACAATCTGGTCGTCGACGAGAACGGCAGGAGTGTGGTTCTTCGAGGAGCAGCACTTGGAGGATGGATGAAGTAGGTGGAACTTGATTCTCCAAGTCGAGCTGAAGAGAAGACTTGACCATAAAACGACACTGACTGGCACTAGCATGGAGAATTTTATCACTGGGTTTCCCGGCCATGAATCCCAACATCGAGCCGCCATGCTCAAAGTCCTTGGGCCTCGGAAATACGAGTTCTTCTTTGATAAGTGGTTGGAATATTTCTTCACCGATGCAGATGCCAAATTCTTTTCCGAAGTAGGCCTGAACTGTCTTCGTTTGCCATTCAACTACCGCCACTTTGAGGACGATATGAACCCCCGGGTGCTGAAAGAAACAGGCTTCAAGCATCTGGACCGAGTGGTTAATCTGGTCAGTTTAATAAATCATCAATCGATCTCCACCGGAAACTGATAGCAGAATCAACAGTGTGCGGCGTATGGTATATACACAATTCTGGACATGCACGCCGTACCTGGAGGTCAGAACCCAGATTGGCATTCCGATAACCCCACCAGCTATGCTGCTTTCTGGGACTACAAAGATCATCAAGATCGCACTGTGTGGTTGTGGGAGCAGATTGTCTCCCGATATAAGACGAACCCCTGGGTCGCCGGGTACAATCCACTCAATGAGCCTTGTGACCCAGAACATGTCCGACTCCCTGCTTTCTATGCGCGCGTGGAGAAGGCCATTCGCGCCATTGATCCGGATCATATCCTGTGGCTGGATGGGAACACATTTGCCATGGAGTGGAAGGGATTCGATACCGTGCTGCCTAACTGCGTGTATGCCATGCATGACTACGCGGTAAGTTTTCAGCAAATACAAAGTGACTCTTGGCAATTGTTGAACCGCTTTCTAGTCTATGGGATTCCCCACTGGTGATCGGTACCAGGGCACACCAGAGCAAAAGCAGCATCTCGAACGATCATATCTTCGCAAGGCAGAATTCATGACTAAATATGGCACTCCTGTCTGGAATGGAGAGTTTGGTCCCGTTTACTCCAATCCTGCATTGGACGTTGATGCAGCAACAATCAACCAGGAGCGATACAACCTGCTGGGAGAACAGCTTCGCATCTATGACAAATACTCGATCCACTGGTCTATCTGGCTATACAAAGACATTGGCCTACAGGGCATGATCTACACAGACCCACAGGGTAAATGGAACAAGACGATCGGGCCGTTCCTCGAAAAGAAGCGAGCCATCTGGATCGATAAATGGGGTCATCAGCATGTCCCTGAGGCTGAAGCAGCGCTGAAGCCACTTCTTGATTGGATCGATCGAGTCAGTCCAACAGCCAAGGAGACCTATCCAACCTCGTGGAACACGGAACTGCATGTCACGCGCAACGTGCTGTATACCTTTTTGGCTGCTTCGTTTACAGATGAGTTTGCCGCTTTGTTCCAGGGGATGGAGGAAAAGGAGCTCGAGGAATTGGCGAGGAGTTTCCACTTCGACGAGTGTGTGCAACGAGAGG